CATGATGAGAAAAGCAAACCCGGTGAGCTGGACATGACATCGCCAGCTGACGAAATAAATGCTATGCGCTCGTTTTCCCATTTTTACAAGACATAGATTTGTCCTACTCCTACACAGCAAACATTTTGCACAATAATTCAGAGCAGCATCCGGTTGGGTATTTTACCAAAAGTTTGCATTTTGAGGGGTGCCACCCTAGCAGTTCCTAGTGGTGTGAATTCATAATAAACAGGTAAGATCGGGAGGGGGGAGTGTCCCAACCAGGCAAAACCAGCATGGCCTGGTATCGACACCCTGCATGCTCAAAACCACCAGACTTCATGCCTGCTCTGGGCTGGGGCGAGTGTGGTGTGGTTAAGAGCGGTAGTCTCGTAATCTGGTGAACTGGGTTCGCTTCCCTGCTCCTTCACATGTACTGAGAGCAGTACATGTGAAAAGGATCTAGGAGTCTTGGTTGACCACAAACTTGACATGAGCCAACAGTGTGACGCGGCAGCTAAAAAAGCCAATGCAATTCTGGACTGCATCAATAGGAGTATAGCATCTAGATCAAGGGAAGTAATAGTGCCACTGTATTCTACTCTGGTCAGACCTCACCTGGAGTACTGTGTCCAGTTCTGGGCACCACAGTTCAAGAAGGACACTGACAAACTGGAACGTGTCCAGAGGAGGGCAACCAAAATGGTCAAAGGTCTGGAAACGATGCCTTATGAGGAACGGCTAAGGGAGCTGGGCATGTTTAGCCTGGAGAAGAGGAGGTTAAGGGGTGATATGATAGCCATGTTCAAATATATTAAAGGATGTCATATAGAGGAGGGAGAAAGGTTGTTTTCTGCTGCTCCAGAGAAGCGGACACGGAGCAATGGATCCAAACTACAAGAAAGAAGATTCCACCTAAACATTAGGAAGAACTTCCTGACAGTAAGAGCTGTTCGACAGTGGAATTTGCTGCCAAGGAGTGTGGTGGAGTCTCCTTCTTTGGAGGTCTTTAAGCAGAGGCTTGACAACCATATGTCAGGAGTGCTCTGATGGTGTTTCCTGCTTGGCAGGGGGTTGGACTCGATGGCCCTTGTGGTCTATTCCAACTCTACGATTCTATGATTCCTCCACATGCAGCTGCTGAGTGACCTTGGGCTAGTCACACTTCTCTGAAGTCTCTCAGCCCCACTCACCTCACAGTGTTTGTTGTGGGGGAAAGGAGAATGTTAGCCGCTTTGAGTCTCCTTAGGGTAGTGATAAAGCGGGATATCAAATCCAAACTCCTCCTCTTCTACCCACCTTTCCCGGGTGTAGGCATGCCTAGCCACTGGGGCACACAGCTGCAACAAGTTGTGCTTTAAAATTCCCCACAATGGCAGGGTGCGTAATTAAAATGATGGGTTGCTGCACATGGGAGGCAGTATTTCAGAAGGATCACGACACCAGTTTGCTAGTAGTGCGCACACACCCACCCAAAAAAGCTCAGGAGAGTGTAGGCTATCGGTTCTTAATATACCATATTTTTTGCTCTATAAGACTCACTTTTTCCCTCCTAAAAAGTAAGGGGAAATGTGTGTGCGTCTTATGGAGCGAATGCAGGCTGTGCAGCTATCCCAGAAGCCAGAACAGCAAGAGGGATTGCTGCTTTCACTGCGCAGCGTTCCCTCTTGCTGTTCTGGCTTCTGAGATTCAGAATATTTTTTTTCTTGTTTTCCTCCTCCAAAAACTAGGCGCGTCTTGTGGTCTGGTGCATCTTATAGAGCGAAATATACGGTACACATTACCTCAACAAGGGGCAATTTTGTGTATCTACAGCAGCCACTTGGAGTGGCCTCGTTCCTTCTCCCCTCCCCACGCAAGCATTCTGATCATCTGCTTGGAGAATTCCACGCTGCTCATCTGGCACCACTGCATCATGGGTTTTGTATTCCAAAAGTACCAACAGGAAGAGGAGCTCTACAAGTCTTCAGTGATAGAGCCCTCCAACTGTACCATATAGCGTAGAAATGGGGGACCTGTAGCCATGCAGCTGTTGTTTGAGTAGTACTCCCATCAACCCTGGTTACGGATTATGCTGATGGGAGTCTGTGCAGTTCAATAGCACAAATCGCAGGTTTCTGATTTGTGAAAGCAGGACATAAGGTTGATGGCATTGGGTATTGCTGCAAAACCAAACAGCCCTGTTAGATGCCTAAAGCCAGGGGTCAGCAAGCTTTTTCAGCCGTGAGCTGGTCCACCGTCCCTCAGCCCATATTTTGAAGGGGGGGAAATGAACAAATTCTTATGCACCACAAATAACCCAGAGATGCATTTTAGATAAAAGCACACATTCTACTCATGTAAAAACACCAGGCAGGCCCCACAAATAACCCAGAGATGCATTTTAAATAAAAGGAAACATTCTACTCATGTAAAAACACGCTGATTCCTGGACTGTCCGTTGGCTGGATTTAGAAGGCGATTGGGCCGCATCTGGCCCCCGGGCCTTAGGTTGCCTACCCATGGCCTAAAGCATCCATGTAGCCTGGTGGCATTCGGATAAAGGGCTATTTACAGATGGACTTGGTAGTTCTATGGATAGACATCAGATACGGCTTTTCGGAAACCAGGGTTCAAGAAACCAAGGATCTACATCAGCAGTAGGGAGCATGGGGCCCTGCAGATGTTAGTGAACTCCAGCTCCCACCAGCCCCAGCTACCATAGCCCAAGCTCAGTAAGATGGGAGTTGTAGTCCACAACATCTTGAGAGTCTCAGGTCCCCTGTTGCCGAGTCTACATAATGGAAACATTTGACTGTTAATGCAAACCTTTTCACCAGGTGCGGAGAACATCTGGCCCTCCAGATGTTGGGCTGCAAGAATGGTCAAACATCATGAGGTTGTAGTGAAGCAACGTCTGGAGGGCCAAAAGCTCGCCACATCCGATTTAGGGTAATTTTATAATGTGTCCCCAAAAGCAACTCGATGAGGAGCCTTTAAGGGCATTTAATAAAAGGAACGTTGTGCTTTAGTTACTTTGCTATGAATGTCCTAAAATGAATGGCTGTTTTTGGTGAAGGGGGTAAGAAATGATTTATTTCATAAGAATACTTTTGGGGGGTTTTTTAGGAGGACAAAAAAAAATAGTCTCTTTTTAAAAATGTGTACAGCGTGTTCGTCTTGTGGTGTCGCCATTTGAGCTGGCTATTAATTTTTCTAGTCGCTGTGGATTGCTAATCCCTTAAATTATTAATTTATTCTTTGTGAGGGGTTTTTTTGTTGTTGTTTATAAAAAAAAGACACTTTTGACACACTTATCCTGTAAAACTGATCTTGCGCTTAACCTAGATAATACTTTTTTTAAAGAAAAGAAACTTATTATTTTTGCTGTTAAATAAATGTGACCTGTGCCTAAAAGCAAAAAACACGTGTGTCTCTCTCTGTTATTAACTAGCACAATTAGCAGAGCAGGCTGTCGAGGGAGTTGCTATTTATAATGCTAATTAAAGTACTCGCCGGTGCATTTTAAGTGTTCAGAAGAGCACTAAATCCCTTGCAGGCGACCGCAGTGCCTGGAGACGAGACAGTCAGGTTGAGTATCCATAGCAATGACCACAGGAAGAATGACCACTGGGAGGAGCGCAGAGAGAATAAACGCTATGGTGAATCTGCAGTAGCACAACTGGACGCCTTCATCTGCCCCAGCTGCAACGAAACATGTCCCACCTGTATCGGTCTCTGCAGCCACTGCAGGCGCTGAAACTCTCCAAAGGTTTGACTTCACCCCCAAAGGCGCACTCCTCCATTGTCTCCTGAGACAGATGGATGCCAACACAGAGACAGATGCTATACTACGCAAGTAGGAATGGACACAGCCACGCCATGCACTGAAATTGCTTTTATACCACTTCGACACTCGTGGTTTCTTCTAAAGAATCTTGAAAACTAGCTTTCCAAAGGGCCTCCTAACACCTCTCAGCGAGGGACGCGGGTGGCGCTGTGGGTAAAACCTCAGCGCCTAGGACTTGCCGATCGCATGGTCGGCGGTTCAAATCCCCGCGGCGGGGTGCGCTCCCGTCGTTCGGTCCCAGCGCCTGCCAACCTAGCAGTTCGAAAGCACCTCCGGGTGCAAGTAGATAAATAGGTACCGCTCCGGCGGGAAGGTAAACGGCGTTCCGTGTGCTGTGCTGGCTCGCCAGATGCAGCTTTGTCACGCTGGCCACGTGACCCGGAAGTGTCTGCGGACAGCGCTGGCTCCCGGTCTATAGAGTGAGATAAGCGCCCAACCCTAGAGTCTGGCAAGACTGGCCCGTACGGGCAGGGGTACCTTTACCTTTACCTTTAACACCTCTCAGCAACCTTGAGAAACTATCATTCCAAAGATTCTTTGGGGGTAAGTCATGACCATTACAACAAGCAGATTGGTGTGGATGCGACCATTCATAATCTGTCCTGGCTCGTGTTTTTAAGTGAAAGGTGGGCAGTAAAGTCCTACACCCCCTGGGAAGGTGTGCCAAAGACCACAGGAAAACACCAGATCTCTCCAAAGGTGTAGAGAAAGCACAGAGAGAGGGATTCAAGGTTAAGAGCTCCTTTCTTGCCCCTACGGAAACTTCCACTGTGTGGCTGCCATTAAGAATTTCAATTTCTGCAGAACTGAGAAGAACGAACGAAATTTCCGCTGAGCTCCTGCTCTCATCAAGGCGCAAAATAGGAAGAAAAGGAGGTGGTTTTTGCATGTGTATGTATTAGTGTATTCCATTATACAGAAGTTTAAAATATTAGCCCGTCGCTAACCCTGGATTTGGACAACCAATGAACTGAGCCCGAGAGCAGCGATTTCCCAGAGCAAAGAAAAATCTGAGTGACAGCCATGGGTGTGCGTTTTTAAAAAACAGCTAAATAATCAGTTAGCAACCTCTGCCTTCATATACTGCAGAGGCACCACATGAACCAAAGTCTTAAACATACTGATTTGGAGTGGAGGCGCTAGGAGACAAAATAAGTCAATATATTCTCAGACATTTGCGATTCCTAGAATAAGAAATGGGGAAATCGGCAAAGGAAAGATTCATGTCAGGAGGACCAGCCTTTCTAAACATGATTCTTCCCTAGGTGGCTGTCTAGGTCAATGAGGAGAGAGTGCTTCTTCTGTGATGGCAGCCAGGGGGCGTGACTCACCTGAGCTCTGTGATAGAGCGCAGGTAAGACCTCCTACCTAACGTACCACAGGCTGAGGTTGGATACTTGAGAAGGGGACTAGCACATCTAGGAGCTTCAAGATCTCATATGAGAGAGGGCATGTGCACCATTTTTAATCTTCAACCTAGTGGCACACGGTACACCCAAGGCCAGTGCTGATCAACAACCGTGTTGCCCTGTGGCCTGAATTATTCTAAGCCGCCATATTGTTCTATCCCCCGCAAAGCTCCTACTTCTCTTTCAGTTCCACTCAAAATATCTATGGCCAACAAGGACTTGAAACAGGACAGGGGTTCAGAACCTGCTGCCGCTCTGCTTTGAAAAGGTATCACAGGGCAGCAGAAATGCCTACGAGTCCAGTTTGCTGCACTGTCCTCCCTGAAAAGACGCCCCTCTCGAGGGGGTTCGCAAAAGGATTTCCCCACCTTTTCGCAAGGGGAGAAGGTGTAGATGGGGCACCTCAGGACACTTCGAATTCCGTCTTCCTGACGGTCCTAGGAAGTGTAGTTCCATGAGGGAGCGGAGAATTCCCTCCTCAGCATCCTTCAGAGAACTACATTTCCCAGAATTCCATGGAGCGGTAGGGCCAGGCCGTTCAAACGGTTGTGGTGCTCTGTCTCGGCCACGGCGGGCCTAGCTCTCCTGTTGCTAAGAAGATTAAAAAGGCCAAAGGATCGTTGAGCACAGTGGAGCCTTGCTTGGTGGTGACAGTGTCGGCCATTTTGTGTCGGGTCAACAGTGGCTAGAAGACGAGTCCGTGAAAAGAGCTTGACCCTCCACCGGGGTCGTGCCCACAACCCCCCGAAGAACTGTCGTCATCGTCCCCATCAAAGTCTTTCCACCACAGAGGGGACTTGGGCAAGGCCGAGATGTAGGCACTTCTGCTTCGAGCTTCCTTTTCTTGCTCCTGTGGCACAGGAAAACAAAACAAAAAGCTCAGACATGGTATACACCTCAAAGCAGTTAAGGAGATAAACAACAACAAATAACCCCCTCAAGGCTAGCCAACATGGCGCCCTCAAGATGGTGCATCGTCCCTGAACATTGGGCCACCATGCTGACTGGGACTGAGGGAAGTTGGTGGAGGCCACCAATATCTGGAGACCACCAACCTCCTTGACTCTCAGCTAACAAATGGGGCCCTGTAACAAAACATTGCAGTATGGAGTGATAATAATAATAATAATATAATAATAATAATAATAATAATTTATTTATACCCCGCCCATCTGGCTCTGCTTCCCCAGCCACTCTGGGCGGCTTCCAACAAAATATTAAAATATCGCAATACATCAAACATTAAAAGCTTTCCTAAACAGGGCTGCCTTCAGATGTCCTCTAAAAGTTTGCTAGTTGTTCTCTTTGACATCTGGTGGGAGGGCGTTCCACAGGGACGGCGCCACTACCGAGAAGGCCCTCTGCCTGGTTCCCTGTAACTTGGCTTCTCGCAGTGAGGGAACCGCCAGAAGGCCCTCGGAGCTGGACCTCAGTGTCCAGGTAGAATGATGGGTATGGAGACTCTCCTTCAGATATACTGGACTGAGGCCATTTAGGGCTTTAAAGGTCAGCACCAACACTTTGAATTGTGCTTGGAAACATACTGGGAGCCAGTGTAGGTCTTTCAGGACCGGTCTTATATGGCTCCCAGTCACCAGTCTAGCTGCCACATTCTGGATTAGTTGTAGTTTCCGGGTCACCTTCAAAGGTAGCCCCACGTAGAGCGCATTGCAGTAGTCCAAGCGGGAGATAACTAGAGCATGCACCACTCTGCTGAGACAGTCCGTGGGCAGATAGGGTCTCATCCTGCGTACCAGATGGAGCTGGTAAACGGCTGCCCTGGACACAGAATTGACCTGCACCTCCATGGACAGCTGTGAATCCAGAATGGCTCCCAGGCTGCGCACCTGGTCCTTCAGGGGCACAGTTACCCCATTCAGGACCAGGGAGTCCTCCACACCCGCCTGCCTCCTGTCCCCCAAAACCAGTACTTCTGTCTTGTCAGGATTCAACCTCAATCTGTTAGCCGCCATCCATCCTCCAAATGCCTCCAGACACTCACACAGTGCTTCCATCCAGGGTTTCAACCACCCCAATTCATCCACTACCGCCACCAGGCAGATGGGGCTTCCTCAACCTGGGAAGGTAGCCCATTTGGAGAAGGACAACTCTGATCCTAAACCTCCACTGCCTTGAGGGATATCTTCAGGAAAAGAAAAGGCTAAGGAGTCAACGTTGCACAAATTTGGAGTGGAGTCCCTAAGATGGGTGGATGGCGCCTTGTTCGCCTCCTTCCAGCAACTCCTGCAGCCAAGCTGGTGCCTAACAATTTGACCTCACCCCTGGAGGTGCACTCCATTGTGTCTCAGGGCAGAAGGAAGCCAACCAAACAACCAATGGTTTTACTCCCTCTCCCCACCCCGGTCAGTCCCAACAATATTCCATCCCTATGGAGCATGAACAGTCCTCACTGGCTTATTGGGGTGTCCTCCCCCTATAGCCACCTCCATTTGGGGTTTGTTTGTTTTTAGAGGGGTAGACAGTCTTGCACCCAATCCTAAATCCATTTAGGATCCATTAGTTCTTTAACTTCCCAGGTGATGCATGTGGCCACTACTCTCTCTTCCCGGGATACATTCAAAAACAGAATCGGCTAGGAAGTCGCCTATATGGTTGTTCTTTCCACACTTTCTACGTAAACATTTCTCTGCTCTCCTGCTGCAGGTAATTCATTTTATTCCCCACCACAACCTGGTTGTCTCCCAACCCCCCATGGTAGTCTCCTTCATGCATGGAGTCTCCTGCGTAATAGCACTCTGGGGGAGGAAAACATTTCACCAGCAAAAGCAGATAAGTGATTTAGCTTAGTGCTTTGCAGGATATAACCGTCAGAGGCTGCTGATATCTTACTTGTGTGCAAGCAGCATGGTTTTGGCTCATCTCCATGAGCACAGAAAGTCTCAAATCTGTATCTGGGTAGCCAATGTAGTGCTCTCTAGCTGTCACTAGACTACAACTCCCATCATCCTGGACCAACGGCCATACTGGCTGGGATTGATGGGAGTTGGGTGTCAAAAAAGAAAAGAAAAGCATATTGGCTACCCCTGGCATATACAACAAGTACGGTGATGGAGCTGGCATACCTTGCTGCCATGGAAATCTACCCAATATTGATCCAGAGCAGATTCTCAGTGTATAGTTAGCACAGTAAAAAAAACTTAAAACACGTTGCAGGATTCCCCCAAAATAGACCAGAGGCAATTAATATTTCATCCAGCAGAGCTTTGCTGCTACTGAAGGCAAATGAGCATAATGGTCACAAATCCAATACATTCAGGATTGGCGCTGTCCATAAGAAATCCATTTGTAGCAGACTTACCGTATTTTTCGCCCTATAGGACGCACTTTTTCCCCTCCAAAAATGAAGGGGAAATCTGTGTGCATCCTATGGGGTGAATACAGGCTTTCGCTGAAGCTTGGAGAGCGAGAGGGGTCGGTGCGCACCGACCCCTCTCGCTCTCCAGGCTTCAGGAAGCTATCAGCAAGCCTGGGGAGCCCGTGGGAGTTCCCGCAGGGCTCGCTAGGCTGTGGATAGCAGCCTGCCGCCCTGCGCGCAGGGTGCCCTGAAGCAGAGTGCCCCGCGCGCCGGGCAGACATCCGCAGCCTGGGGAGCCCTGCGGGAGTTCCTGCAGGGCTCCCTAGGCTGTGGATAGCAGCCTGCTGCACGGAGCGCGGGCGCGCTCAGGCAGAACGCCCCACGCTTCGGGCAGACATCGGCCAGCCCCACAAGCTCGGGGGACAGCGGGGAGGCGGAGCGCCGCCATACCGCTGTTCCCCGACCTGGTTTGGTTTTCCCGACTTGGTTTTGGGGGGGAAATAAAGGGAATTTTTCCCCCTTTTGTTGTTGTTTAGTCGTTTAGTCGTGTCCGACTCTTCATGACCCCATGGACCAGAGCACGCCAGGCACCTCTGTCCTCCACTACCTCCCGCAGTTTGGTCAAACTCATGCTGGTAACCTCGAAAACACTATCCGACCATCTCCCCCCCCTTTATTTCCCCCCCAAAAAACTAGGTGCGTCCTATGGAACGGAGCGTCCTATGGGACGAAAAATACAGTAACTTAAACTTACAATAACTTATAATAAGTCTAAGCCTTGACACTGAGCATATTATGTACAGAACACCACACCAGAAGTAAAAGAAATAGAAAGAGAAAGTGAAACCCAGGCTCCTTCTGGCCTTACTTTTATAGTCAGCATGACCTTGACAGAAAGAGATAAGAGAACTAGTTTAAGCCAGCTGTACTCAGCTTCTCAGAAGGAATAACCCAAACATCATGAACCTTCTGCTTGTTTCTTTCACGCAGAGAAGCTTCCAGAAGCTTCCAGAAGCTTCCAGAATTAAGTGGAATAGGAAAGATCTCTACACATCAGATCAATACTTTCCACACCAAGAAATGCAAGCTGACACTTACTTGCAAGTATAGGATGTTATCCTTCGCAATGGCTTCCATCAGGCTTTTGTCCGGAGAATGCAAGTCTCCATTCACCCGGCCGGACTCTCCAGTGGCCCCACGCCCCGCGTCTCTCGACTGGCTCGTCCTCTGCCTATAGAACAGCAGGTAAGCCGTATCCTTGGGCAGGAAGGATGTCACATTGCTGACAGACTCGAAAGACGAGAATGAGACTCTGGTGTCGTTGAAGAGGTACCACTGGATCGCAACGTCCGGAGGTTTCTCTGGGGCGCCGCTCCGAGAGGCGTCCTTCAGGTTGCTTTCAGCCGCCACATCCTCACACTCCCGGGCGTAGCAATAGTAATGGCCACTCTCAGAGGAGACCCCAGAATGCACCACCACGCTGCAAAGGTCGTACACCACCGAAGCGAAGGCCTTGCGTGCTGAGGCGCTCCGTGGCGGGTTCGCTCCGCCGCTCGGGTCCTCTGAAGATGTCATGACCGGAAGCTTCAACACCAGCGGAACAGAGACGTTGTCCAAGATCTTCCTCCTCCTCATGGCCCTCAGGTCAAAGGAGAACCTCAGCAGGGTGAGGATGAGGTAGTGAGGCCCCTCCGTCAGTTCGGCCAGCTTCTCTGCGTCCTGAAGAGAAGCGCAGTTGTCACAGTGATAGCGGTTCTCCGCCGTCAGCATCTCGGGCGATAAGAAAAAATTTATCAGGTCAGGGACGGATCTGGAGGCCGTGGGCCCACGAATTTGCTCCCTCAGAGCCAACACCAAGTCTTCCTCGGGCTTCGCGCCGGTAGCGTCTTGCTCAGCCCTCGGGGGGAAAGGAGTCTCTTGACTTCCAGGCCCCAAAGTTTCGACGGGCAATATTTGGGGATGATTCTCTCCCGGTGCAGCCGGCTTAGGGAACCTCCTTGGCGAATCGCATGTCCTGCCTGGCACTTCTACGCCCGACTGAACGGCCTGCGGGCCCATTTCTTCTACCGGTAAAAGAGAGGTACTGCTACTGGCTATAGGCACATGATTATCAACTGGTGGGAAAGCCAAGGAGAGGTCCGTGAAGGCTTCTTCTCTGGAAGAGACTTTCAGGCACTTCAGACATCGGATTTTTGTCTTAATTCTGCCCCCAAACATTTTTTCAATTAAAGTCTTGTTTGCAGGCTGCTGTTGCTCAGCCTGAGATATCAGTGTGGACTCTTTGAGCTTCTGGTAGATCCGCCTTCCTGTTCTCTCTTCTTCGTGAAGCCTTTTTTGGGGGGTTGGGGGAAGAAGAAGAGAAACACGCTGAAGAATGTCACCAGTAAAACCATCCCTCCAACCACGGAAGGAGGTGCTACTATGCTCTTAGACACCTGCCAACATCTAAGCCCTGCATCTCAAGATGAACGGCAGTACCAGAATTTTCCCCTAGAAGGAAACTGGACAAGCTGCCTCTCCAGACAGACACTGAAACCTATATTCTGGAAGGCATTTTATAAATCACTTTCGCTTGGAATACTGCAATGCGCTCTACGTAGGGCTACCTTTGAAGGTGACCCAGAAACTATAACTAATCCAGAACGCGGCAGCTAGACTGGTGACTGGGAGCAGCTGCCGAGACCACATAACACCAGTCTTGAAAGACCTACATTGGCTCCCAGTACGTTTCCAAGCACAATTCAAAGTGTTGGTGTTGACCTTTGAAGCCCTAAACGGCCTCGGCCCAGTAGACCTGAAGGAGCGTCTCCATCCCCATTGTTCTGCCCGGACACTGAGATCCAGCTTCGAGGGCCTTATGGCAGTTCCCTCCCTACGAGAAGCCAAGTTACAGGGAACCAGACAGAGGGCCTTCTCGGTAGTGGCACCCACCCTGTGGAACACCCTCCCACCAGATGTCAAAGAGAACAACAACTACCAGACTTTTAGAAGACATCTGAAGGCAGCCCTGTTCAGGGAAGTTTTTAATGAGAGCCAGTATGGTGTAGTGGTTAAGAGCGGTAGTCCCGCAATCTGGGGAACCGGGTTCGCGTCTCCGCTCCTCCACATGCAGCTGCTGGGTGACCTTGGGCTAGTCACACTTCTCTGAAGTCTCTCAGCCCCACTCACCTCACAGAGTGTTTGTTGTGGGGGAGGAAGGGAAAGGAGATTGTTAGCCGCTTTGAGACTCCTGAAGGGGAGTGAAAGGCGGGATATCAAATCCAAACTCTTCTTCTTCTTCTTCTAATGTGTGACAATTTAATGTATTTTTTATCTTTGTTGGAAGCCACCCAGAGTGGCTGGGGAAACCCAGCCAGATGGGCGGGGTACAAATAATAAATTATTATTATTAATCTAATTGACAAATCCATGTCACAAATCAACTGTATTTCAAATTGTTCTATCCCTCAAGTGCATTTCTGTAGTAAGTTCAGTGTTAGCCTTATGCTTTTACACGCAAGCTGCCTGATAAAGCAGGAGGCAAATAATTTAAAATTCTTAGATTAAAAATCTGGTTGAACCAATCCATATCCTGACACTGTGGATTGTGTCCACAAGGAAGTCCAATGAGAAATGCAGAGGGAGAGGGGACAAGGAAGACACACACCTGCCATTTTCAGTAGTGGCTGTATTCAGAGAATCTTCCTTCCTCCTCAAAACAAACAAAAAAATCTCTCCCAAATGTATAGGGCAATTTTAAGGGCTGAGCTTTCACAGGCTATGAAGAGAGCGCGCATTTGGGCAATCTTCAGGGTGCGTGTGGAGAAAGGATAGGCAAACATGCCAATTTCAGTTTCTTGGCTTCCCAATTTTAAGTTCTCCACATTTCTAGATTGGTTCACAATTCATTTATTTGGTTTAAAGTCCTGAAAATTCAGCAGCATTTTAGTGTATACTTCTCCTAACAAGAACAGTAATAATTTATTACATCTACCACTCTGGGTCGCTTCTAACATAATATAAAAACACAATTAGGTATCAAACATTTAAAACTTCCTGATACAGGGCTGCCTTCCGATGTCTTTGGAAAGTTGTGTAATTGTTTATTTCTTTAACATCTGATGAGAGGGCATTCCACACGGCCGGTGCCACTACCGAGAAGGCCCTTCCCTTCTCGGTAGTCATTTTTTGCATACAGTTTTACCTAATATTCATGTTGGGGGTTTTTCACAAAGCATATTTTATCTGAGAAGGATGCATCTTACCGATCGAGCAGGTACTTGAGGTATTCGGAGCAGTCCTGCTGAGCTCCCCTGGTGAACCAAGGAGGCCAGGAAGCAGAGAAAAAGCTTTCGGGAGAGATGGCAGGCCGCTAAGAGGGATTTAAGAAAGGTGGGAGGGGAACAGAAGGGAGAATTGTGAAGAGACACAAAGCATTTGTCGTTCGGATACCAAAGCCTGCGCTTTTTCACCTGTGCTTTTTAAAGTTCAAATCATGGCCCCAGTTGATTTTTAGACTGCTGAATTTATATATTAAAGGTAAAGGTAAAGGTACCCCTGCCCGTACGGGCCAGTCTTGACAGACTCTAGGGTTGTGCGCCCATCTCACTCAAGAGGCCGGGGGCCAGCGCTGTCCGGAGACACTTCCAGGTCACGTGGCCAGCGTGACATCGCTGCTCTGGCAAGCCAGAGCCGCACACGGAAACGCCGTTTACCTTCCCGCTAGTAAGCGGTCCCTATTTATCTACTTGCACCCGGGAGTGCTTTCGAACTGCTAGGTTGGCAGGCGCTGGGACTGAACAACGGGAGCGCACCCCACCGCGGGGATTCGAACCGCCGACCTTTCGATCGGCAAGCCCTAGGCGCTGAGGCTTTTACCCACAGCGCCACCCACGTCCCACAATTTATATATTAGGTGGTTTTAAATTTCGAAATCTGCTTCATTTTATCTAGAAAGCCGGGGTAGACAGTCGCCAACAAATCCCTAAAATAATAAAAGTACAGTGGTACCTTGGTTCTCAAACACCTTGGTACTCAAAACAACTTGGAACCCAAACACTGCAAACCCAGAAGTAAGTGTTCCGGTTTGCAAACATTTTTCGGAAGCTGAACGTGCTCTGTTTTGAGTGTTACGCTTCTGATTTGAGTGCCACACTTCCAATTTGAGTGTTACGCCGAGGTCTGTCTGTTTTGGTTATTTATTTTGCGTTTTTGTTTTTGCGGCTCTTTTTTTTATTTTGTGACTGTGTGGAAGAACCCAGTTCAGCTACTGATTGTGTGACTGCAGTACACGGTTTATTGCTTTCATTTTATGGATCAATGGTCTCGCTAGATAGTAAAATTCACGTTAAACTGCTGTTTTAGGGGTTGTCTTTAAAAGTCTGGAACGGATTAATCCATTTTGCATTACTTTCTATGGGAAATCAAATCAAATCAAAACTTTATTAGCAAAGCCAACAGGCCACAGCTGTACAAAAGTTAAAAGTGAAAATAGGGATAAAAGGAAGAAAAGAACAGGCAAAAGGAGGTCCGTCGGGTGAACAAGTCTGTCACTCAGATGGTGGCCCTCAATTTCGCAGCTCTCTCGATGTACCTCGCGACCTTCTCTGTTATCTGACTATCCGTATCAGATAATAGAAAATACAGTATAATGTCTGGTGAACGGCCGGGGTTGGAGAGAATGAGTGGAGTAATAATCTCATTCCTTAGGTCTTTGTAAAGGGGCAAGAAAGAAGGACGTGGGACACTGTTTCCGTGTTACCATCTCCACATGGGCAGAGTCGTTTTTCAAATGGAGTCTTTTGGTAACGACCTTCGAGTACAGCAGAGGGAAGAACATCCCATCTAGCCAATGTAAAGGCACGTCTGTATTTTGGGATGGTTAGTTTAGACAAATATGAAGCTGGAGAGTCAAAATGAGAAAGGGGAAAGTAGGTATACCATGGGCACAGTTTCTTTAAGATAGTCAGGTTGTTTTGTCGTTCAATGTCTTTCAGGCGCTGGCCTATTAGACTCTTTGCTTTAATGAGGCCCATTGATAGTAGGGACTGTGAGTGCAGACCGCATGTAAGGAGTTTTTGATGCACAGTTTAAACCACTTGCTTTTGTGAGGGTCTTGCATTACTAGCGGCAGTAGACCAGGTGGATTCAGATTAAGACGAAGCCAGAAGTTGAATGTTCTCTGCCAGGTCCGAGTTTCCACAGATGGAAGGCAGGCCTCGAGTCGTAATGCTGCGTTTGGAACACAGGAGGGACGCCGAGTATCTGCCTTAGAAATTTGGACTGGACAGTTTCAAGACTGGAGCAGTGGTTCCCCGTCCAGATTTGCGCCCCGTACAGTAACTGCGCCAGAGGTTTTGCTTGAAAAACTTCAAGGGCTGCTGGGATGTATCTGCCCCCCTTCGTGTAGAAGAAGCGGGACAGCATCTTGATACTTTGAGCTGCTTTTTCTTTGGCACATTTTTGATGGACATCCCAGGACCCGGTCGACTGGAAAACGATACCCAGATATAACTCTGATCCTTAAACCTCCAGCATGGTCCTTGAGAAGGACAGGCGGAATTACTCTTCAGGAAAAGGAAAACGGCTAAGGGTAACGTTGCACAAATATGGAGTGGAGTCCTAGTAGGGTGGTGGCGCACTTAGTTCGCCTCTTCCATGCAACTACTGCACGCAAAAGCTGGTGCATATACACAATTTGACCTCACACTGGAGGTGGCACTCATTGTGTCTCCAGGGCAGAAGGACCACAAACAACCATGGTTGTGTACTCCTCTCCCACCCCGGTCAGTCCAACAATATTCCATCCCTATGGGCATGACAGTCGTCACGTGGCTTATTGGGGTGCTCCTCCACTATGCCACTCCATTTTTGGGGTTTTGTCTTGTTTTAGAGGGTGACAGTCTTGCACCAATCCTAATCCATTTAGGAATCCATTAGTTCTTTAACTTCCCAGGTGATGCATGTGGCACTACTCTCTCTTCCGCGGGGATAACATTCAAGATAACAGTAAGTGCGGTCTAGGAAGTCGCGCGCTATGCACGGTATGTATCTTTCACACTTTACACTATAACATTCAACTGGCTTCCGTCCTGCTTGCATAGTAACTACTTCACTGTGTTATTTGCCACGAACACAGAAAGTGCGCTTTTGTGCTTCTCATTAATTCTGCGCCAAACCAGATTCCCAGAAAGGTCAACTGTTGCAAGAACACCAAAAAACCCTCCACCTTTTTTTTGGCGGGGCGACGCTCGCCATTGTGTAAGTCACTCTTACAATACAGCATGGAAGAATCACTAGCGTAATGAGCCCTCTGGAGGGGAGGAGAAAACATTGTCACCAGCAAAAGCAGAATGAATGTGAGTTTAGGCTTAGTGCTTTGCAGGATATAACCGTCAAAGGGCTGCTGAGTATCTTACTTGTAGCTGCAAGGCAGCATGGTTTTGGCTCATACTCCATGAGCACGCGAAAGTCTCAAACTCTGTATCTGGGTAGCGATCAATGTAGCTGCCTTCTAGCTTGTCATCTAGACTACAACTCCCATCATCCTGGACCAACGGCCATAACTGGCTGGGATTGATGAGGAGTTGGGGTGTCAAAAAAAGAAAAAAGAAAAGCCATATTGGGCTTACCTCCTGGCATATTTACAACAAGGCGTTACTGGGTGATGGGAGCTGCGCATAACTTACCGCTGCTTGCATGGATAACTCTAACCACTATTATTGATCTCCAGAGGCTAGATTCTCCGATGTATATAAACAGGTAATGTAGCCAGCTAAAAAACTTAAAACACGTTGAAGGATTCCCTCAATAATAGACACAGAAGGCAAATTAATGATTTCATCCCAGCAGAGGCTTTCAGAGCTAGCTACTGAGATGAAAGGGAGAAGGCAAAATTGAGCAATAAGGGTAAAACAGAATCATATTCACAATATCAGTGTAAGCAGCGTCTGTCAATTACTGTAACATTCATGTGTGTAGCAAGAAGCTTACGTATCAATATTTTCAGCGACCGTACTCACGAGCACTTTAGTTCAGCACATGCCATAAAAAAGGGAAAGGGAAATCTAGTTATGTGACATTCTTATTTGTGTAGAATACATGTGGCTTATCTCTGAGCACTGAATCATCGGCAAGAGGGCAAGAGAAGACGCGAGATCGGGTGGCGGCACCGAGAACCATCTCTCTCTCCGCTCCTCAGCGCACGCTTAGGAATGCTAATTTAGCAAGCCATAGGGGAGAGCCCTGTGGAGTTCGGAAAGAGCTCGCGTAGGCTGTGGATACAACCTGGCGCCCTGCGCGCACGCGGTGCCTGAAGCAGAGGTGCCCGCGCGCGCGGCAAAATCACCGCAGCCTGGGGAGCCTGCGGAGTTTCCTGCACGGGCTCCCTAAGGCTGTGGATAGCAGCCTGCTGCACGGACGCGCGGGCGCGCTCAGGCAGAACGCCCCACGCTTCGGGCAGACACATCGGCCAGCCCCACAAGCTGGGGGGACAGGCGGGGAGGCGGAGCGCCGCCATACGCTGTCTCCCCGACCTGGTTTGGTTTTCCCGACTTGGTTTTGGGGGGAAATAAGGGAATTTTTCCCGTTTTGGTTGTTGTTTAGTCGTTTAGTCGTGTCCGACTCTTCATGACCCCCATGGACAAGAGCACGCCAGCACCTCTGTCTCCACTACCTCCCCGCAGTTTGGTCAAACTCATGCTGTGACCTCGAAAACACTATCCGACCATCTCCCCCCTTATTTCCCCAAAAACTAGGTGCGTCTATGGTGAACGGAGCGTCCCTAGGACGAAAAATAAGTAACTTAAACTTACAATAACTTATAATAAGTCTAAGCCTTGACATCTGAGCAATATATTGTACAGACACACACACCAGAAGTAAAAGAAATAGAAAGAGAAAGTGAAACCAGGCTCTTCTGGCCTTATTATAGTCAGCATGACCTTGACAGAAAGAGATAAGAGAACTAGTTTAAGCCAGCTGTACTCAGCTTCTCAGAAAGGAATAACCCAAACATCATGAACCTTCTGCTTGTTTCTTTCACGAGAGAAGCTTCTACAGAAGCTTCAGAAGCTTCCAGAATTAAGTGGAATAGGAAAGATCTCTACACATCAGATCAATACTTTCCACACCAAGAAATGCAAGCTGACACTTACTTGCAAGTATAGGATGTTATCCTTCGCAATGGCTTCCATCAGGCTTTTGTCCGGAGAATGCAAGTCTCCATTCACCCGGCCGGACTCTCCAGTGCCCCACGCCCCGCGTCTCTCGACTGGCTCGTCCTCTGCCTATAGAACAGCAGGTAAGCCGTATCCTTGGGCAGAAGGATGTCACATTGCTGACAGACTCGAAAGACGAGAATGAGACTCTGGTGTCGTTGAAGAGGTACCACTGGATCGCAACGTCGGAGGTTTCTCTGGGGCGCCGCTCCGAGAGGCGTCCTTCAGGTTGCTTTCAGCCGCGCACATCCTCACACTCCCGGGCGTAGCAATAGTTAATGGCCACTCTCAGAGGAGACCCCAGAATGCACCACCACGCTGCAAAGGTCGTACACCACCGAAGCGAAGGCCT